CCAGAGGCTTTGCGCGCTTGTGGTTTTGCCTCGGAAAGGTTTTTGTGTTGTATGCGGTCGTTGCTGATTAGCGTGAACACGAAATGTTGCCGTCAGGTTTTGTAAAGTGTAAGATAGCTATTTCAATGCACACTTTACCCCCAAGGTTTTGATTATATAAGTGGGCTGTATATCAATTTAAGAGTGTGGTCCGATTTTTTCTTGTATGTAGGATTAAAATGGCCTGAATTTTTTGTAAGGCTTACTCTTGACAAATGCTCCTTTTTTTCTGGCCTCAAACTCTGCCGACGTGCTATTCAACACACCAATCTGAAAACCAAATGCAAAGTAGAAGAACACGTTACGTCCTTGTTTCTCTTCCTAATTTGCTCAGTCAAACAGACTTAGTCTAATGCTTTTTGCTAGTAATACACTCATAATAATGCTGGTAATACACTCATAATACACTCATAATTTTCGTGTTGCCATGGGTCAGTTTAGTTATAGATCACAGACGACGCCAAAACGTGGTAAGAACATCAGTGACACATACACCCGGCTGCGCCTTAAGTGCTTTTTGTTTGTCCTTAGTACATTTTAAGTCATCTGCGATCTATTACTGAACAGACTCGCAACAACATGAAATCTATTTGTTAAAGTGATGATAAATGAATGTTTAATCGTTTTTCTCACGATTTAGAGACGGAATAAATTGTTGAGTCAAGCTATCAATGGAGAACCGCGACCTCTCTGCTCCTTAGTTGCTAGTCTCAGGCGAAATGATCAAAAGATTTCGAGTCGCTATTATCCAGCAAATGGTCAACTACCCTTGATGCGTTTTTGCGTGCCTTCATTGGCACATTTCGCCTCAATTTAATTCTGCTTCGTAGATCCGTTTTTTACTGACCTGCCGCTGTGTTTTTAATAATTGATCCTCATGCTTACATTATTGCGATTCTATTGGCGCTATATCTCGATGTCTATCAGCTTAATTCGTTTGGTGTCAATTCAGGTTAACCCCAATAGTGACCAGCATCTAATTTCTCCCAACAATACCACTGCCTGATCAAATCTACAGATCATGAGAATGATTGAAATGATCACCAAAGAAGAAATGTCTTTATGTTTGAACAAATTCTCTCAATCGCTAAAATAAGAAACATGGAGAATGGTGAAGAGAATATACATGTTGATATTAGGGCTTTAAGGGTTAGTATCCAATTTCAACCTACAGTATCCAGGCTTAAGACCATGAGAATAAAAGAAATGATCATTAGGAAAGGAATCGCTTGTGAAAAAATTTTCCTTTTCAATACCGCAGGAGAAGTATAGAGATCGGTATGCAAAATATGATAGATGAAGATGTAAAGGGTTCGGTTAATGAAGCACCATCGACGGTCCAACATGCCCACATTTCTCAGAAGACGGTAACAAAAATGAGAGACAAAAAACTATTTCACACACACATACCTTATTTCCCTCAACTCCTACGAAGCTATCTATGCTTGTACTAATTGCACTAGTGGCAGTAGCTGTAAAGACAGCAACGACGATCAAACCAAACATAATCCAGAACACTCCAAATACGCGACCCAAAATAAATTTGGGAGTTTTATCTCCGTAACTGAAGTAGAGCAAAGACAAATCAAATTTACAACATTATATTCTCAGAATGGAGGTAAGCTTCAGTAAAGATAAAAACTAAACCAGACGTTCCCTGTCACCTTACCTAGAAAGGTTGCTCGTATTAATATCAAGTAACCTCCAGAATTTCGTCACAATCCCTGAGGTGTTTTAGAAACCCACTAGTTTTGCTTTCCACACATCTCCCCTTGAACTCCTCAAGAAACCGCCCAAAACCAATTCTAAACTTCTTGTGCAATTTTTGTAGATATAACCCAAAAGTGTCGGTAGCCAACCCTTTTGGACCTTTTGAATTGATGATTGGATTTAGAGAGGATATTGGGTTCAAAGTGATCATGAAATGCTTTGCAAAGTTGATGACATTAACTGCCTGTGTCGTACAAAACCCTCTAAAATGGACGTTTATTTTACCCAACTGTTGTCATGGTGACAAAGGCCCACCAAAAGCCTTCATAGGATCCCTTTACAAATGAACGGGAAAATTCCTCATCGTTGAAGTGCGTTTCCTGAAAGAAAGTTAGACACTATCTTCATAACTGCACTTGGTTATCTTATTTCATAGAGCACCGGGTTGATCGTCGTGCGGAAGATGTAGGGTTCAAGACCCAGGCGGGACCAACACTCAAGATCTTCAAATAGCTGATGAGAGTATCTGCTATTTTTATGACATCTGCAAATGGTTAGACACTCTAGTCTTTGCAGGAGAGGACGATAAACGTAGGCCTGGACTGTACTGGTTAGCAGGGGACGTTAAAGGACCGAAACATTGCTCGCAAAGAATAATGTAGTGGCTCCCTGTGTTGTGGTCTGACCTTGTTACTCTTTATACATTTTAAAGTTCCCCCATGGTTATTTCCTATCTAGGAAGAGGTGAGGAAAGAAAGGAAAAGGCTTTTCTACATTATCCACCATATATTTCAATTCGGTTTTGT